TGTTAGGGTTGAATGAAGTGGGGATAAAGAGAGTAAGAGAAGGGCTTGATTTCCCCAAGATTAAACAAATTTTACATATATTTTCCCCAAGATTTCCCGTTCGCCATGGCCTCTTCGTCCGCCGCCGCTCTTGAGATTATCGACGACGACGATGTAAACTGTTTCTTGAAACCCTGATTCTTTCTTCTCCAAACACTTCAATTTCTATCTCTAAATCTTACTTTTTCATTATTCAGGAATTTGACTGGGACGCAGCTGTGAGAGAGATCTATGTGGCTTGTGAGGCCAATGGCGTCGCCCTTCCCGTCAATGGGACATTCGCTACGTCTCCTGATGGAGTTGCGACTTCGACTTCGACTTCCATCCCAAATAGGAAAACGCTCAAAACCCCTAATGGTGGTGGCCTTGCGTCTGGGAAGCAGTCGACTCTTGAAATGTTTATGGGATTTCCGCCTAAGACTAAGAATGCCAAAACCGAACCCCACAATCCAAACGGCGTTGGAGTCAGAAAAGAGGAGTTTGGTAATGAGGGGGATGACAGGGTTTGCTTCGTTCCACTTGATTTGATGGCAGCCAAAACTTGGATTTATCCAGGTTCTTTGCTCTTTTTCTTAGTCCGTTTTCTCTTCTTTAATTATGCTGTCGAATTGTGCCTCATAATCTTGAGTTACAACAAAAACCTCAAGATGGCCACTGTCTGCCCTCCACGGTCTGCTCAGTCCCATATCCACATGGATGTTGTATAAGTACTTATACGGATGATATACATGTGACCCCCTTCGGACTGATGTACATTTCTACTCACTTTGTTTCATCCTTCTATCGACCACAACATTTGGATTGCACCATTAGAGAACAAGAGTAATGTCACACTAAGTGTTATCATTTAATTAATTTGGTTTGGGATATGCATCACTTATGAATTTGATGTTACTCATTTCTTGAATAACTGTACTATTTCTTTTTTTATAACCAATAACTGTACTATTTCTTATGTGCTTATAGAATAAAATTTTATTCATAATTCTTTTTATTGCAGCAAATCTTCCCGGTCGGGATTATCAATTCGAAATCACGAGGACTGCACTATATTCCTATACCTTAGTGGCATTAGCTACTGGGCTTGGAAAAACATTCATCGCTGCCGTTGTAATGTATAATTATTTTAGGTGGTTTCCAGAAGGTACTGCATCACTTTTTAGCATTTTTGTCATTGCATGTGATTAAGTGTTCTTGATGGTATTTTTTTCTTTCTGGAAAATGGCATAAAGAAATAAGTTAAAGTGAACTGCTTGGAACTATATCAATATGCTTATGGCAATCCTATCTAAACACTGCAAAAGCTGAATATAGATAAGATCTCATTACTCTCAGTAAGGTCCAACTAAGCTGAAAATAATGTTGTCTTGATAAGGTCTTAATTTCTTGTAATGAATTATATACATATTTACTGAAGTAGAGTTATTTATTGGAGCGAATATTCCTTATTTTGTCAATATAGATGAGCTCTTTATGCAGGAAGTTATGGGCATCACATACAAATTCAGAGTTTCTAACATTTGCATTGCTTTGGTTTCAAACCTACATGTACCTTACACAATGACTTCATTAGTTTGCATGAATTGTGAAAGGCTTTTTTTTTTTTTGAAATTTATGTTTTTATTCTAGCAGTTTCTATCCAAAAGGAACAACTGTAACATCATAACCCTCTTTAACCTCTTAGTTGTGTGCTTTTGACTTTGTTGGTTGAGGAAAAAGCTTAAGCATACCAAAAATATACTTCCTCCGTCCCCCTAAGATGTTCTCATTTTGACTTTTGGTGGTTTTTAAAGAGAGTTGAAAAAAGGTGATAGTTTACCATAATACCCTTAATGAAAATGGGTATAGTGTATTAAATGAGATGGGTAAGGTGTAATAAATAAAGCAAGTGGGGGTAGTTGTGGTATTTTTATTGTTAAAAAATTAAATGAGAAGATTTATTGTGGACAAAGAAAAAGGGTTATTGGGAAGATCTATGGGGGACGGAGGGAGTAGTATTTACTTTGTATATGTGACATCATGGCAGGAAAAATAGTTTTTGCAGCTCCTTCTAAGCCCCTAGTTTTGCAACAGATTGAAGCATGCCATAACATTGTAGATATACCACAGGTGAGGCTTTCTAGCCCTCTTTTTTTGTGACTGACTGTACCTTTGTGATTCTAGTTTATAGTAAAAAAAAGAGGATTTGTATTCCAATCCAAAAAATCATATTACTCGCATGATATCACATCTCATGGGTGAAGAAAAGTGACAAAACTATTTTGAGTTTAAACATTTTATTGCTTCCTGATTATTTTCCTTCTGATATTTACTTTTTTTCTCTATGTTTTTTGTTAGTTAACATGATACCATGGCAGTAGATGGCCCTCCATTTGATCCTAGCATATCCATGGGACACAACTTCTTTGTGCAGAACCTTCACTGATATACTGCATAGGTTATGTCACTGCTATGTGTTCTGTGCTTTCCGCTAATGTCTTAATTTTTTTGTTTCTACATCTTTCTGAGCAAATCTTTGGTTTCAGGTTTGTTGCTTTGCACAGGGAAAGGTGCAAATTTAGAGCATGTTGATGAGGAACAAATAAATGACTA